ACAGCTTCTCAGGGAAAAGTACCTGCGTTTTATTCCTTCTGCAAAACAGTTTCTTCCTAGCCCCCACCTAGCTCTGATTCATTATGATTTTAATTTTTTTTAAAGAGGTTTGCCTGAGGTAGGATGCCACAACATTTTTCAGACTGCTTAGGGTTTTTACTTTTGTAAGGGGATTTTTTTTGAGTCTTAATTAACACATTAAAAACTTCTCTTTGAGTTTCTATTGGTCTTTCTGCTGTAGTTGAAAACATTTTTTTTATGGTTTAAACACGAGTATTTGATCCCCTTCTTGTCAGTAGTAGATATTCCTGCAGATCAGTCAGTACTCTGTGGCTGTATGGGTGGTTTAACAGCTTCAGCAGTGTTATGTGAGGTTACTTTCCCTTGCTCTTCTAGTATTTTTTGTTTGTGAAACTGATTATCACACTGGGATTAAACATATATTCCTAGGTTCTTCTTATTTAGTTTGAGGACAGTTGAGTATAATCAGAGTTGTTAAAATGGAAAATGCACGTAATATATGTACTTGGTTTTCCTTTGTTTTTAGTTATTGGGTTAATTCACTATTTGTGAAGAAAGTTGGTTTTGTGGTTAAAGCATAGGGTTGGGATTCCGAACATTTGGTTTCCTTTTTAATCCCTGCCACATATTTCCCCATGAGATTCTGGTCATGTCACTTAATTTTTCTCCTGGAGTTTTTGTATCACCTCTCTCTGCCTTCAAAGGTGAGTCATTGGTGGTCTCAGACAGGTAATATAGAAATATACAGGAGCAGAGTGTTCATCTGTTGATTACCAGAAGTGATAAACAGCCCTTCTCTATCACAAGTGTGACATGAAGATAATAATACAACTTTTCAACACAATGTGATTCCTGCTTGTTTGCTTACTTTTAAGAGAAAATATTCTGTGTGCTTCCTCTTTAATGTTGCTCATGAATGGATACTGCATGAAAAGTAAATTAGATTTGCAAGTACTATTTTCTGAAAAAAAAATGGCAAGAGTTACACTGTCTACTGGGAGATGTTGCTTGATTCTTTTAAAAAGTGTGATGAAAGATATAAAGCATCTTGCCTTCAGTGTTTAAAACACTTGGGAACTATTAGTAATTAGCATAAGACTTAATGGGAGTCGTATCCTTCCAAGGCATCTGGGCCTGAGCACAGCTGAAGTGCTAGTGAGTAAAGTTAGAGGCTTAGATGGACCCTAGCTGCCATCCCAATGTGCCATCTCATGTTTCATGGGTTTGACAGCACTTGTAATCTTCGAGACTCTTTTTATTTAAAGAAAAAAACACAAAACCAATCTCAAAAAAAAAATAACCTTTCTGGCCATTAGATCTCTCTCTCTTCCTTTTCTCAATGGAGGCAGCTGAGAACTTTCAAAATATGATCCTGAAAGATTCAGGCCAGTCTGTGCACACAACAGTCTGCAAACCTCCCCCAACCACCTGGATTTCCAGAAGTGATGAGCACTGAAGAATTTACCAATATCTGCAACCTTGTATTGCCCCCTTACAATTCCAACATTCCCAGTAAAGCCTAGTGGGCAGCCCTGTGAACAGTTTTCTTCTTGGCACGTTTTTTTTGGAGGATGCTCCTTTTAAACAAGTTTCATGAAATGTTTTTGCCAAAACAGTTTGGGTTATAAGCTGAGTGGTTATGACAAAGAAATTATTTTTAAGCTTTTCTTACTAGTAAACTTCAAAGTATTAGCTTATAAGTATTGAATGCTATTTTTCCTTATCAGTGATGAAGATCCATGCCACTCTGTGTTCCTATGCCTAGTAGCCTCAGCAGTATGTCCAGGTTATCTATGCTGTAGTTCTAAGCATTAGTTTGGGGGAATTGTTAGGGTTAATGTCTCTGCAGGTTTGCTGAGCAGATGTAAGTTCCGCATTACAGATTGTGTTGTCTCAAAGCTTGACCATTTGTGAGTGCTGTTTCCGATAGGCCTTTGGTTGATTTCTTTGGTTAGCAAACATATTAATCAAAAATGTGATATTCCTATGTGGCTCTGTGGTCTACAACATTGTACATTGGATTCATTATAACAGTGATCAGATAAAAGGTCTTTCAATCAAGATGTAATTAATACCTAGTCTGAGTTTCTAACTGAGAGTAAAATCTGCCTATATGGCACACTGTTTGTATGCTTAGATCATTGGATGTAAGGCAGCGCTGATTTTTGAGGGGAAAAAATATGGATATATATCTGCAAAAGACAGTGGAACATATGAATTAATCATCTGGTTACCTTTTGCCCTTGGCTGCTGGATTGCAGCCTTTAGCATTGCTTTCTTTTATATTTTACATATGCTGCACTGTGGGTCACCAGCTTTCTCATCCTGTCTGGAAGGCACAGATTGACACATGTAGGCGTTGTGACATATCCTGTTGCTATCTATAAGTGCTAAGGATTCCAAGATAAATTTGGATTCTACATGTCAATAAAGTCGGTCATTGCCACCCAGCTGTTTCCTCTATGGCCTTCAGTCTCACCACACCTGATTGTTCAAGACTTTTGACACTTGAGTTGGCTTTCTCACACAACTGCTCTGCCAAGGCTGGTTGGGAATTACAGCTGCAAACATCAGTTCTCTTTTCCCTAGGTGTTTCTCCCATCTCACATGATTTTGCTGCATTTGCACATGTAGTCTTGGTTGTTTTTTTTGTTTGGGTTTTTTTTTTTTTAGACATGATGCAGTTGGAAGTTAATAAAGGTGATATTTTAATAAAGAACTGTGGTAGACAAAGTTTTAGGTGATCATGTTCAACTTTTCTTAATTGGATAGGACATAGTTAAGCCTATTAAAGTGGATAATAATAAGTTGCTAATGATTTTAATTATTCTGTGTGTAGCTTACTCAACTACGTTTTTGTTCAAAATTTTCATAATTTATGGTTTAGTAGCTAAGTCACATACAGGTCCATCTGCTTTCTTGCTAAACACACTAATGTTTAAATTGACTGCATGAACACTTATGATGTGAATAGTCATGCAAAATATTTGAACACAAGGATTCAGAACACATTCTTTTTCCCTGAGTATCATATAGACGAAAGTTTATTCCTATATATGTACACAGGAAAGGAATCCAGCTGCTGGATTCATGAGGTGAAATGCTGGCTCTCTTTGAAGCAGATGGAGTTTTGCTGTTCAGTTGGACCACAGAGTGGTTTTCTGCAAACCCACATCTGAAAACACCAATATATTTTGTAATATTTTTCTAACTGTAGGTACAATATTTTTTATATTTCTGTGCCACCACTTTTATACTGCTTGCTAAATTAATGAGATCAAAATTATCAGATCATGCTAGGCTTCCTTGTTCTAGCTGTAGAACAGGCTATTAAACAGTAACAAAATGAAAAAGATATTAAGTGATGTTGTAGAAAGGTAAACAAAGCAATAGCTTAAAAGGAAAGGGACGAAAAAAAAGGTTTATTTATGGAAAACCCACTTTTTTTGGGACACTAAATGATAAATCTGCATTACATTGACCTGTAGCAAAGTGCCAATGGTAATAGTGTTTTACTTCAGGTTGTCTTGATTGATTTCAGCTGCCCTCAAATATCTGATGGTGGAGTTGCAAGGGCACAGCCATGAATCCTTTCTGGCACAAAGCTGAGCAGCTGCTGGAAGTCAGCACCTCTACTATGCATGCTGGTCTTTTGGCCTGGTTTTCTGAGGGTGCTCCTTGCAGTGCTCTGCTTCCTGGTCCCAGGGTTTTCCTCCCATCATCAAACTTTCCTCTTTGAAGAGCACTTCATCATCATTTAAGCTTGCAAACTGAATTTTCTCTGAGATGAATCTGATATATTAATTGTAGAATTTTGGTTATATGACTTGGATGATAAGATTTTGGCTTTCTTTCTTGAGTTACTTCATTCCTTTGCTTGCTGTCATATTATCTTAATTCCTTTTTTTTTTTTTTTTTTTTTTTAAATTTTCTCTTTGTGCATGTTATCTGTCTCCTGCTGTCTGCTTTATCTGCTTCTTCCTTCCTGTTGGCAGACATCTTTACAGGCTTCTACATATGACTTATTTTTCTCTGTATTCACTAATCAGGTCTTCCTGTCATGACTATAACATTTTTCATATCACTGTTCATAATTGGAAAGTGCTAGTCAGGCTCTACAACTGATCCAGTACAGATATGTAAACCTAAAACTTCTCTAGAGACTTCAGTTTTGGGGGTTTATGTTAGGATGGAGATTCTGGTATCCAGAGGATACCAGAGGATGC